GAAAGAGTGGATGCGGGCATTCAAAGGATGAGAATTATGTGTCTCTGGTGGATGGGGCTAGTTTTGTGGCGGATGTAGAACTATTGGGATTCCAGGAAGCGTGCTCTCAGTGTCACCTTTTGGGACAAGGACAAGGGCAAGGAGTAGTCGGGACAGCTTTCACAACCACCAAACCTTGTTTTGCAAACGACATGAGTAAGGCTCTGCCTCTGGCACACCATGCTAACATGTTTGGCTTGCACGCTGCTGTCGCCATTCCACTCCGGAGTGTCTCCGCTGATTTCGTGTTAGAGTTTTTCCTCCCAAGGGACTGCCAAGACTACAAGCACATTCTCAATTCATTGTCCATGCTAGTGCAGCAAGCTTGCCGGAGTTTGCATGTTGTGACTGTGGAGGAGGAATTTCTGTTGCCTGTTGCTCATGAAATGGAATCATCATCATGGATTGCACATATGATGGAGGCCCAGACCCAACAGAATGGGAAAGGTGTGTCAGTGTCCTTGGAATACCTGCAAGAGCCAAAACAAGAGTTCAAAGTGACAACCAACGGCAACTGCAATGAAAATGAAGAATCCTATGGTGGGCGCCGGGGTGGCAGGAAATCAGGCGACAAGAGACGAACCAAGGCAGAGAAGACTATCAGCTTGCCGCTTCTTCGACAGTACTTTGCGGGAAGCCTCAAAGACGCTGCCAAGAGTATTGGCGGTATGGTACCAATACTAATAGTAATACCATTCTCTTTTGCATTTCCTTTTCCTTCATAATTCTCTTCTCATTATTGCAGTTTGTCCTACCACTCTAAAAAGGATATGCAGACAACATGGAATTACAAGGTGGCCTTCAAGGAAAATTAAGAAGGTAGGCCACACTTTAAGGAAGCTTCAAGTTGTCATCGACTCCGTCCAGGGTGCTCAAGGTGCCATTCAAATTGGCTCCTTCTATACCAGTTTTCCAGAGTTGAGCTCTACCACTGCCACTGCTAGTGCTGTTTCTCAATCATCCAAGAATGTCAATAACAATAACGATACTTCTGAAAATAACCAAGGACAACTTGGAGCTACTACTTTCAAATCCCCAACGTCATCTTGCAATGCATCCATCCAACTCCAAGCCCCCCATCCTATTCAATGCCTTGAGGTACCTCCTTTGCCCCAAACTAGTGTCTGGAACACGACTACTTTTAGAGTCAAAGCTACTTTTGGGGATGAAAAAATCCGTTTTAGCTTGCAACCAAATTGGGTATTCAGAGATTTGCAGATGGAGATTGCAAGACGTTTCAATCTAAACGAGAATATTAACAACATTCAGCTCAAGTATTTGGACGATGCTCGAGAGTGGGTTCTTTTAACATGTGATGCGGATCTTGAGGAGTGCAAAGACATAAATAGATCATCTCACAACCGCACAATTAGACTCTTCCTCTTTCAGGCTTCGCCTCTAAATCATGCGAATGCATTTGGCAGCGGCAGCCCCTCCTATTCCTAACACCGCTTTTACTTGTTAGAGTAACTCAAAACCATTTTTCTATTACTTCTCTCATTCAATAGATACAACGATATTAGTCCCAAATAATCAGCTTTCAAATGCTAAGAATCTATGCTTTATCCATATGAGATATTATTAGATACTTCTTCACTACATAGTTCTAAGTCTCTACATGTTATCAAGTATATTTACAGTCTGTTTAGATATATGCTTAAAAACATTTTTTTATAGTTTTTCTGCTAGAAAATATTTTTTATTTTAAATAAAAAGATTTCAAAAATATTTTCAGTTTGTATTCAAATATGCACTTAATTTTTTTCACTTAAGTTGAAAATTTTAACTACATTTCATATTGATTGGTTGAGATCATGAACACTTAGTAGTTTGAGATCACTTGATAATTTCTCATATCTATACACATGCCACGCTCTCTCCATTGCACATATTTGTCCTATTGCATTTGCTCGCGTCATATTTCCTGTGCTACGATGGTAATGGTATTAATATATACAATAAATCAATACTTTTGGATAAACTTTTAATGAGCCCTCTTAGATTTTTTTATAAATTATTAATTTATGTAAAAGTTAAAATAAATATTTTAGAGAAACTAATATAAGAGAGCTTCTACAAATTAATTTTAGATAATTTATACGAATTATTTAGTGATAGTTTTCAATTAATCTTAAAGATGACAACATGTACCTGGACCCTTAGGACACCCAATAAAATATCTGTAATTTTAGGATTGGATTTGAGTCAAGTATAAAAATACAAAATTGTGTAACATCCTTTAAATTTAACGTTTTAGCGACTCCACTTCACAACACTTCACATAGTGACACTTCATACAACTCCTCGTCGGTCATAATGCTTCATTGGTCAAAATCTTTTGTTGGTAGCCTTTTCTAAAATGTTGACTACCTTTAAGATCAACAACTATTCGCACAAATCAACACATAAATTTTCAGCATGCTTTGTCTTCACTTGAACACTTTTTGGAAAACTTTCTAGAAGGTCACTCATCCATAAATTGTTCTAAGTCAAGGAAACTTATAATTGTGGAGTTCTTAAGTAATGAGTTATCGAAAAGTAGATGCATCTTGTTGGTATAAGTAATACTAATTAATTTATTTAAGTCATCTTTAATCATACAATCTTGACTTATACAAATCTTTGCATCCCTCTGATTTTGATATATCAGGTTGTTACAAGCCAACTAGCTTCCACCTGGTTTGTCCCCAAATCACATTGTATTGGAAGAGAGGATGTGCTTGATACAATTTGTAAAACCTTTCAGATTTGACGTCTTAGGTACTCTAGTCCACAATACTTTATAGGATCACACTTCACACAACTCCTTGTTGATTAGAATCTTTCGTAAGTAACCCTTTCTAAGATGCCTAACTACCTTTAGGATCAACAATTATTCCGACAAACCAACAAAAAAACTTTTTAGCATGTTTTATCATTGTTCGCACACTTTCTGGGAAACTTCCTAGAAAGTTTTCTATACCTAAATCACTTTAAGTCAAGCACACTTGATTTTAGAGTTTTTAAGTGATGAGTTACCAAAAAGTAGATGCATGTATATGTATTACTAATTAATTTCTTTAAGTTATCATCAACTGTACAAACTTACACCTGTACAAATCTCTGAATTCCTTTCATTACAGTGTGTCTGGGAGGTTACATTATTTAGTGATATTTTTAATCAATCTTAAGGATGAAAAAGTGTACCTAGACTTTACGGACACCCACAAAATATCTGCAATTTTAGGTCTAGGTACGAGTCAAGTTGTGACATTCTCTGTCCCGCATGCATAACACAAATAATAAAAATTGAATAACATAATTCTTTATAATTAAAAACTAAATTTTTTCAAATAGAGAACATCACCTTCATACCTTAAACAAAGTAACATAGTCAACAAAATTACAAAAGGAATAAAAGTAATGTTTCCAAATAAATCAACGGAAAAAATATCCTAATCTAGTCCTAACTACACCCTAATGTCACATGTCCTATTAGAGCAAAACCCAACACTAAAGCCTAAGTATCATCACCACATCCTTAGCCTCATGTTGATGATCACCTACATAACAAAAAAAGAAAAAAAACACAAAATAAAAAGAAGTGAGAAATATTTCACTTTAACACATAGTGTAGGAATGCAACCGGATACCCAAATACAAATAAAGCATATAAGCAACATAGCACATTAATAATAATAACATATTTCATTCATTCATACATCATAATTAAATACCTCATAACAGTAGGATGCATATGCAATGGACACAAACCACATATTATTATACATGTGATGTTAGTAAAAACATCACATGGTACGTATACCACCGCTAGTAACACATATAGAGTAGCTTAAGAGTACATGACAAGTCATACCCTCAATGCACTCTCACTAGGAGGATTGTAAGATATGACTTAGAGGGGAGAGAAACTTTGAGAACCTAAACATTTCTCTTTCTTCTTCTCAGATTATTAAAGAAAGATTCATGCTTAGAGACTTTGTTTTTTTCTTCTCAGAGACTTTGTAGCTAGTAGTGATTTAAAGTGACTTGGGGCTCGGAGCCCAATTCCTTCTCCTTCTCTTATTCTACTTCAGAGTAGCTTAGAGTTCTTCCTCAATTTCACTCCGTTCTGAGGTAAGGGAAGCTGAAATCTTAGATTTTGGTTGAAATGCTAGGTTGTTGAATGAATTAAGAACTTAAAGTTGTTAGAATTTTTTAAATATGTAGCTATGAGGATGGATTCAGAGTTGGTTGCATGTTGAAACTGAGGTTTTGATGTTCTTGATGAAAGGTGAAAATGTTTATGATTTCTTTGAGTTTTGGTTCATGCATGTTGCTTTTCTTGTGATTTTTGGGTTACATGAATGAATCTAGTATAGATAATGAGTTGTAGATAGTGTTTAGGAGGAAAATTGGTGAAGTGTAAGTGGGAAACAAAGGGGAAGCCATGAAAATGCAAAAAAAAAACTATGCACTCAACACCATAGTCGTGGTTGAGCACTACAACCATGGGAGAAAATAGGATGGCCAAGATCTAGTGCCACAGCCGTGGTTGAACACAAAAAATTATGGGAGAAATTGGGATGACTGAGACTCAACTTCGTAGTCGTGGTTGAGCACTGCAACCGTGGGGAAAACTAGGTTGGCCAAAACCCAATATTGAGCATTGTAGCAGCGAGGGTAAATGACTAAATTTGGTCTTAAGGTCTTCATGAAATTTGTAACCTTAGATGTTAACTTTCCAATGACTTTGGAATCATCTAAAAAAGAGGTCTAGAACTCTAGTTATAACCTTTTTAGTGAGTAAAGGTCAAACTATCAGCATTTAGGCAAACTGTTGCAATTTTTACAATTTTCAACATGGTAGATGATGGAATTAGAACCTAGGTTTTTCATGAAAGTTGTAGAAAATATTCTTATATTTCATGCTATAAGGGTGAGTATGATAGGAGTAGTAAAACATCCTATGCGTTGTTTATGTGAAGGTTGTCATTGTATGATAAGTGATTTTGATAAGTTGTATGTTGATACATATTGTATGATGGATGAATTTGGTGAGCATGAATAGAATACTTCTGTCTATTGTATGTTGTATGATGTAGGATAATGATAATAAGCACTGGTATGCTATCTTTGTATAGTTGAAATGATAATAAGCATTGGTATGCTATATTTGTGTAGTTAAAATGGTGATGAACATTGATATGTATGTATGATTGATATGCTATAGTTGAATGAATTGTGGAGCATTGATATGTTATTATTGAATGAATTGTTAAGCATTATGCTATTCTTGGTTGAGGTATTAAGCATTGGTATGCTATACATGATTGATGATGTTGATCTCTATATGCATTGACTGGATGTGATGTATATAGTAGATGCATGATGAGGTATAGATGTTGAGAATGCGGTGTGACATTAAAGCATAGTAGCTAACTTAGGACTTGAGGAGAGGAAAATATTTTGAAAACTAAAGATCCCATATGGGGTATCTTGAAGTGGTGCTTGGGTAGACCATTATTTGGAAAACCCTCCTTGAGTATGTGTGTTTCTTAATTAGAGTAGGTTTTGAGATGTGTTGAGTCTCCTCCAAATCCTTAGTTAATGGTTGAGTAAATTGGGAGATCGAGGACTACAACCCTTAACTAAGTACCTGGAAATGTTGCGTGTTCTTTGAGGATAATTAGTGGACGAATTTCATATGTGACTTTGTAATACATGCCAAGGTCGTGGTAAGCCTATATACCCAACTGTATTATTTCTGATGGTGGAATCAGTCTTTCCTAGTGTAAGTGATGAGAGTCGAAAAACCAGAGGAGGGATTGGTATCCCATTTTGTTGTGATCGAGCTGACACTTCAGGCGTGAAAATGATCGGGTTGATTCAGTAGGGTGGAAATTATTTAGACTACTCATGTTGTTAGGAGATCTCCATAGGTGAATATCTGATGATGCATTGGTTGGCATGTTGCATATGATGTGTGTTGAGGTGTATTCATATGCATTAATGATGTCTTATAAGACATAATTTAGATGAGATGTTTGCTTGGGGGTGTTGTAACTTTCATGTATGATTATGGAGTGATGTTGTATATTATATGATTGTTTTCTATATATATATACATGTTTTCAAACTCTAGCTTACCATTTTCTATTTCCATGATGGTTTGGACTGTGATGATCATACGTTGTATGAGAGCAAATCAGGGCTAGGGATGAGGAGTTGTTGGTAGGGGCATGATATTTTTGTGGATGGCGGTGTTACTGCATGTAGCTAGTATAATCGTGCTTAACTGACACTAAGGTATATGATTATTTAGGATTACTGTACACATACATATATGACTTGTTTATATTAGTTCAGATGTTTTACTTTTATACTCATGTTATATGTATATATGTATGGTGCATTTTCTTCTTTAATCCTGTATGTCTTAAAAATTTAACTTTTGCTTCTAGTGGTAGTGATTTTATTTAGGGTGACGACCATGATGGATCATTATAAGGATATACTACTAGGGTATGGTTAGGATAATTGGGTCGCGCAAGATACGTCCTATGCACATAAAGGGTGAGATTGAGACTTTTCAAACCAAGTTATCCCCAAAGATTGAT